ACGACATCGTCGGTTTGGTTTGTTTAAGTGGAATGCTATAAAGAATCTTTCCATGTACTGGACTTGTGCACAATTTAATGGGCTTGTCCACCCAACCAACTAGTAAAGTCCAAAATGAACCTAGTCAATCTATAAATGAAAGTAGACAGTTATTTATTTATTTATTTATATATATACTACATATTAATTGAAGAACATTTTTTGTGAACTAAAAACTAACAAAAATGTAAGTATAGTTTTTTATGTGTAAATAATATTGTTCTAAAAATTCCAGTGCTAGGCGGTTGGTCATCGCCCTCGATTAATGCCTAAGCATTGTTGATGCAGAAAACCGGAGGTCTTGGAACAATGTAAATCCGACTGTGAATCATGAAAGAATGTAAAGAACACAAGATGTATCGTAGTTCACCCCAATGTTTGGGCTACGTCCACACTGATGTTGATATTGTTTTACTCTGAATGGTGAATATACAAGAAGGCCAGAGGCAGTGTGCTCTCTAGCCCATTTTATGTGGCCTAAGCCTTGCCCTCAATCTTGGCCTAAACTTGACCTCTCCTAATGAGGAGAGTGAGAAATCCTTTTATAGAATAAGGGCTACTCACTTATTACATATTTGTCCCTTCATTTATTACATAATTACATTTGAGTCCCCCGAGTATTTATACGAGGTCTAAATATGGAGGCCCTAAGTATGGTACAAACAGTAGTCCCCCAAGTCCTCAGTCAAGAGAGTCTTTTGGCTGGAGACTTAAAATTCAGTCTATGTGTGGGCCAAAGTAACTAGATGTCGTCTAGAACTGATACTCGATATGAGGCGGTGCTCAATCTGAAATGATGTTCAACTAGAAGTAGCACATGTTGCGAGGCTGCTCTATTTGTGGCTTATGTTGCCTTGGTTGGCTCGGCTTATGGGGTTGAAAGTGAGGGAGTTCCTTTTATAGAATAAGGGTTCGCTCCTCAATACATAAATGATGGGTTGGAGTTGATGCTCGCGGCGAGACGGTTGCTCAGCAGGCGGCGATGCTCTCTAATGATGGTGAGGGAGTCCCTTTTATAGAATAAGAGCTCACTCCTTAATACATAAATGATGGGCTAGAGTTGATGCTCGCAGCGAGGCGGTTGCTCAGCAGGCGGCGATGCTCTCTAATGATGGTGAGGGAGTCCCTTTTATAGAATAAGGGCTCGCTCCTCAATACATAAATGATGGGCTAGAGTTGATGCTCGCGGCGAGGCAGTTGCTCAGCAGGCGACGATACTATCTAATGATGATGAGGGAGTCCCTTTTATAGAATAAGGGCTCGCTTCTCAATACATAAATGATGGGCTAGAGTTGATGCTCGCGGCGAGGCGGTTGCTCAGCAGGCAGCGATGCTATCTAATAATGGTGAGGGAGTCCTTTTTATAGAATAAAGGCTCGCTCCTCAATACATAAATGATGGGTTAGAGTTGATGCTCGTGGCTAGGCGGTTGCTCAACAGGCCGCGATGCTCTCTAATGATGGTTAGGGAGTCCCTTTTATAGAATAAGGGTTCGTTCCTCAATACATAAATGATGGGCTAGAGTTGATGCTCGCAGCGAGGCAGTTACTCAGCAGGCGGTGATGCTCTCTAATGATGGTGAGGGAGTCCTTTTTATAGAATAAGGGCTCGCTCCTCAATACATGAATAATATGTTAAGAGTGATGCTCGTGGCGAGGCGGTTGCTCAGCTGGTGGTGATGCTCTTTAATGAGGGTGAGGGAGTCCCTTTTATAAAATAAGGGTTCGCTCCTCAATACGTGAATAATGGGTGTCTATAATGAAAGTGAGTGAGTCCCTTTTATAGAATAAGGGTTCGCTTCTCAATACATAAATGATGGGCTAGAGTTGATGGTTGCGGTGAGGCGGTTGCTCAGCAGGCGGTGATGCTCTCTAATGATGGTGAGGGAGTCCCTTTTATAAAATAAGGGTTCGCTTCTCAATACGTGAATAATAGGTGTCTCTAATGAAAGTGAGGGAGTCCCTTTTATAGAATAAGGGCTCGCTCCTCAATACATAAATGATGGGCTAGAGTTGATGCTCGCGGAGAAGAGGTTGCTCAGCTGACGGTGATGCTCTCTAATGAGGGTAAGGGAGTCCCTTTTATAAAATAAAGGTTCGCTCATCAATACGTGAATAATAGGTGTCTCTAATGAAAGTGAGGGAGTCCTTTTTATAGAATAATGGCTCGCTCCTCAATACATAAATGATGGGCTAGAGTTGATGCTCGCGGCGAGGCGGTTGGTCAACATGCGGTGATGCTTTCTAATGATGGTGAGAGAGTCCCTTTTATAGAATAAGGGATCGCTCCTCAATACATAAATGATGGGCTAGAGTTGATGCTTACGGCGAGGCGGTTGCTCAGCAGGCGGTGATGCTTTCTAATGATGGTGAGGGAGTCCCTTTTATAGAATAAGGGCTCGCTCCTCAGTACATAAATAATGGGCTAAGTCCCCTAAGTATTTTTCATGAAGCCCAGTTGCGGAAACTCAATATATGGTACATAGTGTAGTCCTCTAAGTCTCTAGTCAATAGAGTCTGTTAGCTGGAGACTTTAAATTCAATCCATATATGCCCCGAAGTGGCGGTTGTTCGGATGCGGTCTTTGTATACCATGCATTGAAGTTTTGTAGGTGAAACTTTGCAAGTGAAGCTTTGAAGCTGGAGCTTTTGTAAATGAAGCTTTTGAAGCTGGAGCTCTGTAAATGAAGCTTTAGAAGCTAATTGACATGAGTGATGCTCATGAATGTTTATGTTGATTGACATGATTGATGCTCATGGATGTTGACATGAGTGATGCCCATGAATGTTGACATGAGTGATGCTCATGAATGTTGACATGAATGATGGTCATGAATGTTTATGTATGATTGACATGAGTGATGCTCATGAATGTTTATGTATGATTGACATAAGTGATGCTCATGTATAATTTTGGAGTACTGGACGTACTTTTGATCACCTAGTTGGTGATAATAGCAGTAGACTGCTGAATAATTTTTTGTAGTACTGGACGTACTTTTGATCACCTGGTTGGTGATAATAGCGGCAGACTACCGAATAATTTTGGAGTACTAGACGTACTTTTGATCACCTGGTTGGTGATAATAGAGGGTCTGGCTCTTTTGGGTATATGGGCCTTCGCCCTTCACATAACATTCCAGTCCATTATTTTGGGCTTGCCGTTTTTTTATTTTTTATTATTACCCTTTGATGGGGTTATACAGATGTCTCTGAAAGATAAGAAAAATAAGTACATATAACAATGTATGTATATTTCAAGTACACACAGAAACTTATTTACTTGAAATATAATGGATTTACTTAAATCCGCCCAGGCCTCGCCTAGCCGCCTAGGCACCAGGCCTCAACCCGCCGCCTGACCAGCGTTTAGTGTCTTTTAGAACCTTATTATATGTACTTATTTATAATGATAAATAAAAAAAATTTACTTAATCTGCCTAGGCCCCCCCGCCTAGGATCTAGGCTCCAACCTGCCATCAGACTAGCACCTAGTGTTTTATAGAACTATGGTATGAATACACCCATTTATGGTTCATCTCTAGTAACACAATAATCACATACTTCTATTGCTTGAGTCTTATAAACTGCTTACTAGCTTGACCATCAGAAAGCCTTCGACGGCACCCTGTTGTTGCTAAATGTTACATTATGGTTGTTTGTTGCTAAATGTTACATTATGGTTGTTTATTGCTTTACAGATAGTTGATTTTGTGCATCTCTTCCCCTTATAGTGATTATGGTGAATTTAATTTCAACACTTTTTTATTTATTTATAATTGTATAGGAACAGAAGCGGAAAATAAGAATTAGTTATTTTAAAACATTCAAGTTTTTGATAAATATATAGATAACATATAAAAAACATGAGTGAAAAAAAAGACACACACACACACACACACAAAAAAAAAAAACGACAAATAGAGAAGTTAGCCACGCCCATAAGGCATTTTTCTTTGATAGTAATTTATCTTGTTTGTGTTGCTACCCTTTCATCTTCATGAACCGACAGAACCAATTCCCTCTCCTCTACCTCATATAATCAGAAGTTGAATTCTTTGTTTCGAGGTTATTATGTATTTGCATGTAAAACATTTTAGAGGGTAGATTGATAGTTTTTTATGAGTTGAAGAATTTATTTTTATGAAAAAAGAGTTTACGAAATTTGAGAGGGTAAATTAAAAATTAAATTAGCAACTTGTGGATTTATAGCTAGAAAATGTCGGTGGTGTTTGGCTATGCATTTAAAGTGATGATTGGTGTTTGGTTTGCAAAATAACAAATATTAGGAAATTTTTTAAAGATGTGTTAAAATGTTATTTGTCACAAAGACTTGGTTCCTCGACTCCTCAATGACATTTTAAAAATACTTTGTGGCCTGTTCATGCAACTCTATGTAGATAATCGGTTCATCATTATGTGCTGATCATCTTTGAAAAAAATTAATTAATTTAAGATTGTTTAGTTATCGAACAAGATAAAATCAGATGGACAAACTTGATAAAACATGACATTCATACACTTTCTCAAATATTATTGTTAATTTTTTGTCATTTATCTTTTTTAATTTATTCGATCTAACGTCTAAAAATTGAAAAAAGCATATAAAAAATAAAAATAAATGTATAAATAATACTACTCTAAACTGTTTATCTATTTGATACAACTGAAATTTAAAAATAAACAGTATGAGAGGGTTTCATTAAAACTCCTTAATTTTAAAGGAAAACTAATGAAAAGGGTTTGAAAACTTTGAGTTTTAATGATAAAGACAAAATAAAGGGTAAAGTGAATATTAACAGAATTGACTTTTTAGTATAAAAATGTGATTTTTCGTTATAGTAAACAGTACCGAGTGCTTTTCGTTAAAATTCCTAATTTTAATTGGTTTTGCCTGAATAGCGTTCCCATTCATATTATTGGTTTTGCAAGGAAAATCTTACCTGAATAGCGTTCCCATTCATATTCAACCGTTGGTATGAATAACGTTCCCATTCATCAACCGTTCGTATACGTCAGCATGGGCCCCGCTCCGGAGAGCTGCTGAATATTTAGCTCACCTGTCCACCCATTTCATACGTCAAAAGAAAATCAACTTTCATTTCCAGAAGCCAGAAATCATAGGAGACGATGAATTGCAGTTGCAGGGACGTCCTCATCCGCCAGGATTCCGATTCCGGCAACCCCTACATTCTTCTGCTCAACGACCTCTCTCTGATTCCCGTTTGGCATTACCTCTTCGCCTCCCTCGCGATTTCCGCTGCAATTCTTTACCACTTCCTCGAATTCCATTTCTTCCAAGACCTTTTCACCGCCTTCAGAGGCTCCGCCGTCTCCTTAACCTTCAACCCCTCCTCCCATACCTACCACGGCGTCGTTTCCAAGTGCCGGATTCTCCATTCCAGGTCCCAATTCAATACTATTTGATTAAGCAGCTATTAAATCCTTGATTTTGTTGTTCTTTAACTTAATTAGTCGATTAACTTGCAGGTATTTGGCGACGCCGTGGCTCTCGAGCCCTCATTTCCAGACTGTATTTCTCAGCTTCTTTGGGCGGCCTCCTGCTTTCAGCTACCGAAGGTACGCTTTCATCTGTCCCATGTCGTCGACCCAATTTTCAAATTTTGTGGGCAAATAGGGGTTATTTATGTTTTTGCCTTTTCGGCTTCTGGGTTAGTTCAAGATTTGAAATTTGTGGTTGTTTTTGTGTGGTGGGTTCTTCAGCATCTGTGTGCAATGTACGTTTGGGAGTGAAATATTTTAGAGTATTAGTGTACCACTGCAAAACCCAATTCGGCTGCGAGTGTTTGTACTTTTTTTTCTTCGTATGTGAATTAGGATTTTATGAATAGTAAAAACACACGAATTTACTGTTCTTTGAGTCTGTTAAAAGATGCAAACCGCAAAGCAAATGTGATGTATTATATGAGTTGTCTGTCTGGATGATATCTTAAACCAGAATGCTCTCAGTTTACAAGTCAGTGTGATTTTGGGAGGAGGTTTTAGTGTTCAGTGGATTTTATATATCATTTTATATGTGTCTGATTTTATTTGGTTCAGGTGTAGTCTTGTCGATATGCTTAAAAGTTATAACATTAATCATTTGAATAGGAGTTATATTTGAATAGGAGTTATACTGTGTTTTAATATAGGTTATGCCTAAATTTTTTCATCCACCGTATTTGTTTCACATTTAACACAATATAAAAAACATCAAATGGGTTGGCCATTTTAGGCCTGTTATGTATTTAGTTTGCATTATGTTCCAGGTTGGTGTAGTTTAAATTGGGCTTACATATTTATTTCTTGTAAAAGGAAAGAATACAGAAGAGAAACCTTATTCTTTATGCTTTTCTGGCTGGCTTTAAGGTTTCGGACTTGTTGAACAAGGTTCTAGAGGGAAAAAATACTGAGTATCCCAGCTGATATTAACACATAGCTGCCTCCAAAGAGGTTGTTTCCATAATTCTTACCCGTATACAGCCTTACCCTTGCTTTGCAAAGAGGTTGTTTCCATAATTCTTACCCGTGACAGTTCAGTAACAAAGAAGCAACCTTTCCATTGCACCCCTCGCCCTCCATCTAAATAAACAAACAAAAAGGGCGACTTGAAGCCAACAAAGCTCTCCGCTTTGTGAGGGTCGGGGGTGGTCAGGAGGGAGGAGGGGAACGCCTATCGTATGCAGCCTTACCCTTGCTTTGCAAAGAGGTTGTTTCCACAAATCTAACCCATGACCTTTTGGTCACAAAGGAGCAACTTGTCCGTTGCACCAAGGCTCGTCCTCAATCTAAATAACAACAACAACAACAACAAAGCCTTTTCCCACTAAGTGGGGTCGGCTATATGAATCCTAGAACGCCATTGCGCTCGGTTTTGTGTCATGTCCTCCGTTAGATCCAAGTACTCTAAGTCTTTTCTTAGAGTCTCTTCCAAAGTTTTCCTAGGTCTTCCTCTACCCCTTCGGCCTTGAACCTCTGTAACAAACAAAAAAAGGGCGGCCCCAAGCCAACAAGGCTCCCTGCTTACGCATCCTTACCCTTGCTTTGCAAAGAGGCTGTTTCCACAACTCAAACCCGTGACCTTCCGGTCACAAAGGAGCAACCTTTCCGTTGTAACTGAAGCTTAACGAGCTTCCCAGAATCTGAGTTTAACTATATAAGGTGGTTTTAGTCATGTTTGACACCCATGGATAGATATAATAAAATGATTATAATGTGATTTATAGCCGTAATGATACATGAGATGGATCTATTTGGGGAAATGAATCAGTTGGCTTGTTAGTTTACTAATTTACTGTCATGAAATGAGAAATGTAACTGTATTGTTCTATATTGATCCTTAACTGTTTCTGTCTCGCTTTTAAAGGTTTGCTTGGATCTTTGATACTTTAACAGTTTTTCCATGATCTTGCTTTCTCGCATAGGTTTGCTACAATTTTGTGTGTCTACTAAAATATGTATATATTTTTTAATACAGATTATACAACTGTCATTGACTATTCTTCCTCTTGAATTTTGATTCATGCTTTTGACTAACAGATAGCAATGTATATTCCCTCACAGAGAAATTTTTCATCTATCTGATGGTGGAACCATTGCTTTGGATTGGCTAAGGAATTCTGATGGTAACTATTATTCATTTACCTGAAATTAATAACCATGTGCATATATTCTTTTATGGACATTAATGAACGCAAAGTAAAGGGTTAATTTTTTTTGAAAGGCAAAGTAAAGGGTTAATTATATTACACTCTTCAGGTTTGGGGTTGATTTTCAAAATGGACCACGAGGTTCTAATTTTATCATATTGCACCTTGAAGTTTTGAAATCGTATCAATTTACACCTTGTCTCTTTGAATATCTAATCCTCCATTTGATGATTTTTTTTGTCAATGCGTTCTAATGTGGCTTAAACGTTAGCCCACATAATGATCTCAACTCACTATGCCATCAATTTAATGAAGGATCAAGCGACCAAAGACATAAATTGATACAATTTTAATACTTAAGGTATTAAATAAGAAAATTGAAACTTCATGACACATTTTTAAAATCACCCCAAATTTCAAGAGTGTGTAATGTAGTTAGCACTAAATCATATTAGCCTTATCATTTAATTTTATGTTTCTGATATACAGTAAACTCCGCCGTGTAAGTTTATCTTACATTGCCGGTCCCAAGCCCGGATAAAGGAGGAGGGGGAGGGCGTCAGGTAGTCGACAGCCGGCACTCTATGATCACGTCGAATCCTTATGAATATGAATCCAGAACGAAATCGCGCTAAAGCTAGGGCGTCACCCGTAAGTGGCGCGCTGTGTGGCCTGAGCACAGTGATAAGTGAGCAAGGGTCGCTGTATCTCCATCGGCACCCGGATACAGTGTTAAATGAGCAAGGGGGCTATAGAAACTTCTTTTCGAACGACTCCACTCAAAGTTGTTTGGGAGCATATGCTCCTATCAACTTTACACGGGACACACAAAAGAAGTACTTTGATCCTATTAGACGGGGAAGGGTGAAGAAGCTAGGACAGAAGGGTAGAGTTCAAGAGAGCAAAATGCGTTTAGGAACTTGGAATATAGGAACATTGACGGGAAAATCTATGGAAGTAGTAGAAGTTATGGTGAGGAGAAGGATAAATATTATGTGCCTACAAGAAACTAAGTGGGTTGGTCGTAAGGCAAAGGATCTAGAAAACTCAGGGTTTAAAACTATGGTATTCGGGCACAAATAGAACGAGAAACGGTGTTGGCATCATCGTGGACAAGACCTTGACACAAGATGTTGTAGATGTCAAGAGGGTAGGAGATAGAATCATGGCAATCAAGATTGTAATAGGACAAGAACTTATCAATGTGATTAGTGCGTACGCACCTCAAGTAGGGTTGGATACGAGTTCGAAGGAGAAATTTTGGGAAGACCTTGGAGACTTGGTGCAAGGAATTGCTCAGACGGAGAAGTTATTTATAGGAGGAGATTTAAATGGACACGTGGGCAGGGAGACAGGCAACTATGGAGGTTTTCATGGTGGCCATGGTTTTGGGGAGAGAAACGAGGATGGGGAAGCTATCTTGGATTTTGCAATGGCATATGATCTCTTCTTAGCCAACACCTTCTTTAAGAAGAGAGAAGAACATGTGATCACCTACAAGAGTGGGTCGTCAAAAACACAAATAGATTTTCTTCTAATGAGGAAAGAGGATCGTATAACTTGTAAGGATTGCAAAGTTATACCAGGAGAGAGCGTGACTAATCAACATCGCTTGTTGGTGATGGATGTACATATCAAAAGAGTGAGAAAAAAGAACAAGACTTGGAAGTGCCCAAGGACTAGATGGTGGAATCTAAAAGAAGAAAAACAAGTCATTTTCAAAGAGAAAGTAATCACCCAGTGTGTGTGGGATAGAGAGGGGGAAGCTAACCAAATGTGGGATTCCATGGCTAGTTGTATCCGAAAAGTAGCAAAAAGAGGTATTAGGAGAGTCCAAGGGCTTTGCCCCACACCAAAAGGAATCTTGGTGGTGGAATGAGGAGGTACAAGCAAAGGTGAAGGCTAAGAAGGAATGTTGTAAAGCCTTATACAAGGATAGGACCGATGAAAATGGTGAAAGGTATAGAAAAGCGAAGCAAGAGGCGAAGAAAGCTGTGAGAGAAGCTAAGTTAGCGGCTTATGACGATATGTATAAGCGACTAGATACCAAAGAAGGAGAGTTGGATATCTATAAACTAGCTAGAGCAAGGGAAAAGAAGACAAATGACCTAAACCAAGTGAGGTGCATCAAGGATGAGGATGGAAAGGTTCTTGCTACAGAGAACGCGGTTAAAGACAGATGGAAAGGTTATTTTCATAATCTTTTCAATGAAGGACATGAAAGGAGTGCTTCTTTAGGGGAGTTGAGTAACTCAGAAGAGTGTAGAAACTACTCTTTTTATCGTAGAATCCGGAAGGAAGAAGTGGTGTAGCTTTGAAGAAGATGAAGCATAGAAAAGCAGTAGGCCCAGACGATATACCAATCGAAGTGTGGAAAGTTTTGGGAGAGACAGGTATAACATGGCTCACTGACCTTTTCAATAGGATTTTGAAAACGAAGAAGATGCCGAATGAGTGGCGAATGAGCACTTTGGTGCCTATCTACAAGAATAAGGGCGATGTACAAAATTGCATGAACTATAGGGGAATTAAGCTAATGAGTCATACAATGAAGCTCTGGGAGAGAGTCATTGAGCATAGATTGAGGCAAGAGACACGGGTTTCGGACAACCAATTCGGGTTCATGCCAGGGCGCTCAACCATGGAGGCAATCTATCTCTTACGAAGATTGATGGAAAGATATAGAGATGGGGAAAAAGGATTTACACATGGTCTTTATAGATTTGGAAAAAGCGTATGATAGGGTCCCAAGAGACATTCTTTGGAGGATTTTAGAGAAGAAAGGAGTACGAGTAGCATATATCCAAGCTATACAGGATATGTATGAAGGAGCAAAGACTGCCGTAAGAACTCATGAAGGACAAACCGAAAGCTTTCCCATAACTGTAGGATTACATCAAGGCTCATCCTTAAGTCCTTACCTTTTTGCGTTGGTAATGGATGAGTTAACAGGACATATTCAAGGTGATATTCCTTGGTGTATGCTTTTCGCAGACGATATAGTGTTGATAGATGAAACTCAGGAAGGGGTAAATGCAAAGCTTAACCTTTGGAGAGAAGTGTTGGAATCTAAAGGTCTTCGCCTAAGCCGATCAAAGACAGAATATATGGAGTGCAAGTTCAGTGCAAATGGAGGCCAAAACGAGTTAGGGGTGAGGATCGGAGATCAAGAAATACCAAAGAGCGACCGTTTTCGTTACCTAGGATCTATCTTGCAAAAGAACGGAGAATTAGATGGAGATCTCAACCATAGAATACAAGCTGGATGGATGAAGTGGAAGAGTGCATCCGGCGTGTTGTGTGATCGCCGTATGCCACTGAAGCTCAAGGGAAAATTTTATAGGACGGCAATAAGGCCGGCGATGCTGTATGGCACAGAATGTTGGGCGGTGAAGCATCAACACGTACACAAAATGGGTGTAGCGGAGATGAGGATGCTTCGTTGGATGTGTGGGCACACGAGAAAGGATAAGATTAGGAATGAGGATATCCGGGGTAAAGTAGGAGTAGCCGAAATTGAAGGAAAGATTAGAGAAAATCGGTTACGGTGGTTTGGACATGTGCAAAGAAGGCCTACTGACGCTCCGATTAGAAGATGCGACTATGGACAGAGGTTCAGGGCCGAAGGGGCAGAGGAAGACCTAGGAAAACTTTGGAAGAGACCCTAAGAAAAGACTTAGAGTACTTGGATCTAACGGAGGACATGACACAGGACAGAACACAATGGCGTTCTAAGATTCATATAGCCGATCCCACTCAGTGACTTGGATTTTCCAAGTCTCCAACCGAGAAGTTTTCCTCACTCGGGAAATTAAGGGAACACTACCTCAACCTATATGCTCCACTCACAAAGCTTCAACATACAAGCTTCAACAAAAAAGAAAATTCAAAGAACTTAGCGAAGAAGGCTTTGGTGTATTTAACACAATACGTTGAAATGAAGGAAAGCTTATTTATTGATATCCCCGATAAGTTACAAATATGTACATATACTTGAGTCAAAATAAACAAACAAGAGGGAGCCTTCACAAAGGTTGCTTAGGAGAAGTCTCAGCAGTCGGTAGAGCCCCAGGAAGAGAAGGCACCGGAGGGGGATCATTCGGAGCCTCAGTACTGGACAAAACCCTAGAAGGAGGAGGCATCAGAGATTGATCATTTGGAGCCTCATTACGCGGTACAGCCCCAGAAGACGAAGGCAATAAATGCCTTTGGAACAAACCCACAAATCTCTGATGATCAAGTAAAACCTGACCATCAGATTCCTTCACCTGGTCAAGCTTCCTCTTCATGTTTGTAGCATAGTCATGTGCGAGCCGGTGCAACTGTTTATTCTCATGCTTGAGCCCTCTAATCTCCTGTTTGAGACTCATCACTTCAGCCGCCAATGATTCAACTTGGCGGGTTCGAGCAAATAGGCGTTGGGCCATATTAGACACAGAACCTGCACACTGAACACTGAGAGCCAGAGAATCCTTAACAGACAACTCATCAGACCGTTTGGAAAGTAGTCTGTTATCTTTGGGAGTGAGAAGGTTCCTGGCCACTACCGCAGCGGTCATATCATTCTTCATCACGGAATCCCCAACGGTAAGAGGACCAGTAGGGGAGACGAAGGATGGGCGCCATATGTTGTCTGGAGAAGGCGGGGCTGCCTCTTCAACAAGGTTCAAGTCAAAACGACGGTCGGAGGGGCCAGACATTTTCAAAGGTGTTGAAGAGAGAAGAGGTCGGACAAATCAAGATCTTAGAAGTGCAAGAATGGAGCTTCTACTGGTGGATATTCAAGTGTGCTTTGGAACTTAATGTCAGCCCCTATAAAAATCTGCACTCGACGAAGCTTCAGAAATCGAAGAGGCGCCTGCTCAGAAATCGAAGAGGCGTTTGCTTTCTCAAAAGCTGGGCTGCTCAGAGACCACGAGGGTCGATCTCAGAAATCGAAGAGGTGTTTTGCTTTCTCAAAAGCTGGGCTGCTCAAAGACCACAAAGGCCGATCTCAGAAATCGAAGAGGCTTGCTTTCTCAAAAGCTGGGCTGCTCAGAGACCACGAGGGCCGATTTCAGAAATCGAAGAGGCACCTACTTTTCCAGTCTTGTCAGCACCTGTCACACGCACACTCAGCTTTGCGGAAATTATGGGCATTCTGTTGAAGATTTCTAGCGAAGTAGAAAGCACATGAATCGTACTGTTCAATCACCCACTTCCCACACGCAACAGTAGCTCATGGGTACCACAGATAACTTTGCCAAAGTTCTCTGACAAAGTTGAGACACGTGAAGCTTCCAGCTCCCACTACATCGCTCTGACCAAGAAGGGTAAAAGAATTGCAAAGAAACAACACTAACAAAGTTTAGACACATAAATTTTGAAGGTCTAGCTACCATATTATTACCCACAAGGGTAAAGGAACAGTACCACTGCTGGATAATTGGAAAGTCCCGGTGTGTCAACCTCTGTGCTTCGTGGCAAGGTAGACTAGCAAACATGCCCAACCTTTACTCACATTCGAGAAAACACTCCTAACAAGATTGCTTGCTCCAAAATCGAAGAGGCACCGCCCTCCGAATCTCGAGAGCCAGACTCCCAACATGATTACTTTCTCAAAAATCGAAGAGAGGGTAAAGGAACAGTACCACTGCTGGATAATTGGAAAGTCCTTGTGTGTCAACCTTTGTGCTTCGTGGCAAGGTAGACTAGCAAAACATGCCCAACCTTTACTCACATTCGAGAAAAACACTCCCAACAAGATTGCTTGCTCCAAAATCGAAGAGGCACCGCCCTCCGAATCCCGAGAGCCAGACTCCCAACATGATTACTTTCTCAAAATCGAAGAGAGGGTAAAGGAACAGTACCACTGCTGGATAATTGGAAAGTCCCTGTGTGTCAACCTCTGTGCTTCGTGGCAAGGTAGACTAGCAAACATGCCCAACCTTTACTCACATTCGAGAAAAACACTCCCAACAAGATTGCTTGCTCCAAAATCGAAGAGGCACGACCCTCCGAATCTCGAGAGCCAGACTCCCAACATGATTACTTTCTCAAAAATTGAAGAGACACCGCTCTCCGAATCTCGAGAGCCAGACCCCCAGCAGGATTGCTTTCTCAAAAATCGAAGAGGCATCGTTCTCCGAATCTCGAGAGCCAGACCCCCGACAGGTCTGTAATCTTCACACGCAACATCAGCTTTCCAGATACCACAAACCACTTTTTCAAAGTGCTCTGACAGAGTTAAAACATGTGAAGCTGGCAGCTCCCACTACCGTGCTATAACCAAGCAGGGTAAAGGAATAGCATTATTACTTGATGTTAGGGAGACTCCTATATATGTCGACTTCCATCCCTAACGGACAGGCAGACCTGCAAAAATGCTCAACCCTTTCTCTTATCTGAGAGGGCACTCCCAACAAAGCCTTTCGAAATATTCAGCTTTCTTTCCCCCCGATAATACCTCTGTAAACAAGCTATACTAGAGCAAGAATATCTCATATCATCAGGGTTAAACGCAAGAGTATCCCATATCATGCTTTTTCCCTGTCTTTTCCTTTGGCCTTGTTCTTACCTGCAAGACAAGGAGAAAGAGAGCAATCAGTCAGCACTTGGAATCAAGCTTCCAGCCAGGAACTGACTGCCTGGAACCCCTTACCTGATTACTTACTCATCTTCAACATCTTATGCTTCCAGGGAAGATACCGCATCTGCCTGAGGAACAGATAGGGCAAGTGAGAAGGATACAAGGAAGCATGTGGAGACAAGCGTAACAGCACACGTGCCGATACATCCACTACTCTATCAAAAGCAAAAGTATCCCATATCAGCAGGGTCGAACGTACTCTAGATTTGATGGACTTGTTTTGACCCTCAAATTCTTCAGTCGGCCTTATACTCTGGAGGAAACCAGAAAACCCTCCAGCCCAGTTCAAGAATAAGCATGTGGAAAGTTACTTCTTCAAAAGCAAAAGTATCCCATATCATCTCTCCTCATTTTTCTTCTCTTTATCCTTCATGCTGCCTGCAAGATAGGGAGAATGTGAACAATCAGCCGGAGCTCTGATTGCTTACCTTGTCTGTCACCTCTTTCAGCAGATCCCCCAGCTCGGCGACTTGGGGGACTCCTACTACATGGTTTGTATCTCGCTTGACCAAGCATGAAACTACAAGTAAGCTTCAAGTGAAATTGATACATTACCTTGTGCATCTCCACCGGTTACAGATACCACCCCTAGATGGAGGAAGAGTACTTCCAGAGAAGATGCCACATCTACCTATGAGACAGATAAGGCAAGTCAAGACGATACCACACTCCGGTACTTAGAAGTTTCGTGGCTACGAGATCATTCTCCCACAATATTTCCTAATGTCATTTGTACTAAATCATTCACTTGTACTCACTAAAGGAGAGCTTGAACCTATGTACTTGTGTAAACCCTTCACAATTAATGAGAACTCTATTCCGTGGACGTAGCCAATCTGGGTGAACCACGTACATCTTGTGTTTGCTTTCCTATCTCTATCCATTTATATACTTATCCACACTAATGACCGGAGCAATCTAGCGAAGATCACAAAAAGTGACCGTTTTCGCAACCTAGGATCTATCTTGCAAGAGAACGGAGAATTAGATGGAGATCTCAACCATAGAATACAAGCTGGATGGATGAAGTGTAAGAGTGCATCCGGCGTGTTGTGTGACCATCGTAGGCCACTGAAGCTCAAGGGAAAATTTTATAGGACGGCAATAAGGCCAGCGATGTTGTATGGCACAGAATGTTGGGCGGTGAAGCATCAACGTACACAAAATGGGTGTAGCGGAGATGAGGATGCTTCGTGGGATGTATGGGCACACGAGAAAGGATAAGATTGGGAATTAGGATATCCGAGGTAAAGTAGGAGTAGACAAAATTGAAGGAAATATGAGAGAAAATCGGTTCCGGTGGTTTGGACATGTGCAAAGAAGGCCTACTGACGCTCCGGTTCGAAAATGTGACTACGGGACAGAGGTTCGGGGCCGAAGGAGTAGAGGAAGACCTAGGAAAACTTTAGAAGAGACTCTAAGAAAAGACTTGAGTACTTGGATCTAACGGAGGACATGACACAAATGAGCGCAATGGCGTTCTAGGATTCATATAGCCGACCCCACTTAGTGGGAAAAGGCTTTGTTGTTGTTGTTGTTCTGATATACAGTAAAAATACAAGCATAAGTTCCAGTGTTTTTGTAACTTCGTTTTTGTTCGATCTTGTATTGTATTTCTTTGGTTGTGTAATACTTAGCACCCATGTTGTGTTGGCTTATGATGATAGGATGTGTAACGAGGGCTTTATTTATATTTTGTGTTTGTAAAAATGTAGTCTTTCATGTTCATATATTAATTCTTTCTCAAAATAAAAGAATTCTTACTTATTAATTGACAATAGTTCCTCAGTGATGTTATCTTCAGAGAAAGCAGTTGTAGGTTTTATTCCAAATTGGCATCGTCTATTTTTATTGTGAGGCTTCATGATACCATTTGTTCCATTGTGTGTCCTTTATTGGTTGGACATTGCAATATTGTCAAATCTTTTTAACCGAAGAGTTGAAGTTCTATGGGCTAGATGGTGAATTGATCTCTCTACAGAATGTTTTTAAAAAAAATTTTAATTTAGGCAACCAATCTTTTCCGTCTTGATAATTGGCCTGAAACAGGAGAAAAATGGAATTTTATGTCAAACTGAAATTTCTGTATTATTTTTGTTCAATATGAGATTTGTTATTAAATTTTTATGCTGCTGTGCTAGTACTAGGGCTATTCTTGTAATCTCCTGCGTACGTTGCATTTCTATCATCTTTCTTTCCTCACTTTAGTGTACTGAATTTTCAATTCAATCGGTTGTACTCGGGTCCATTTCACGTTAGATGGACATCATTAGTAACTAATCCTGAGACAGCATCATCTAGACAGACAGGCCCTTTAAACTCACTATAGTATAATAACAACTGGGTACACTTCCATATTTCAATAACTACCAGACATAGCCCTTGAGCCTCCTAAACATAATTACTACCTAGTATTTTGTAAACTTGACCAGGCAACTCTCAATGATATTCCTTGATTCAAACCCCTGTATCTTCTAAAATCCTATGCCCAAACCCCTTCAAACCCACCCAAAAGATTATTTTGGTTCTTCACAAAGTAAATGAAACCATTTTTTTCATTGGTTAGAAAAAGAATTTTCACAATCTTAAAATGTGTCCCTGTGTAGTTGCTTTACTAATTATTTGGTTATCTTGCTCGTATGAGTGTTATGACACTCTTGATTTCATGGTAATCGTCGTTGTAAATGCTTTTTCTATTCTGATCCATGTGTATGCTTGTATTGCAGTTCTGGGAGGTGCTTTTAGCTCAAACAATGCTATTCCTAAAGATGACACCACCCCTATCGTGCTGGTGATTCCTGGATTAACCAGCGATTCTGAATCTGCTGTAAGCTTAATCTTTATTTCTTCATTATTTATTTGCCTTTTTGTATAAACAGAATTCTCCAAATCCGCATCAAGGGCTCTGGTTCGAAACCGGGGTCCCCTGTGTCAAACCCTACAATTTGGAAGGTGGGAAATTCTTGCAGTTGCTAGATTAGATTGGTACTATAAGGAATTCAACCCGTTACCACGTGAGAGCAAACTACTTGACTAAACCCTTATCGGTACTCAATTTTTTAGTGTATTTAAATTCTACTAGTTATTATTGTGGTCCGTCTCTAGGCATAAAATACAACAAGAAGAAAGCCTTATCCCACTAAGTGGGGTCTGCTGTATGAATCCTAGAACGCCCATGCATTCGGTTTTGCGCCAAGTCTTCTGTTAGCTCCAAGTACTCCATGTCTTTTCTTAGTCTCTAGGAATAAAATTACTCCATGTGTTTTCTTAGAGTCTCTAGGAATAAAATATGTGAACTAATTTAGTTGGTTCAAATAGAAATTTTGGTTTTAGTCAAGCAAGAAGTTAAAATGGTAAAATAAATTTCTTTAGAACTTCGAAAGCTGTTGAATCTTAGAATCTCAACTGAGTTATTTATTTTTCTTCAGAAAAAATGTCTTTAATATAGAACCTTTCCCACCCTATTCCAACGGAATTTGAGGTAGAGCTCACTGGCAGTTATAAACTTAGTACAAAATTGCTATTGGGAAACTTTTAAGATCTTCGCAAGGACTTTTTCGTCCTGTTGGTTATTATATGTCTGAAACACAAAACTAACTACAAGTAGACTTGGCCATGGCCACATCACTCCTAGTCTCGGCCAAAAGAGGAATTAAATTATCCAGGGTTCTTCAAACCGAAGTAGTTGGTCCAATCTCTAAGTCCAGATGCCATCTCATCTACGACAAGATTACACCCTGTAATCATGATAGATGTTGTACCACCTACACCGTTCCCTGGATGCTGACATTAATCAACCCGAAAGTGGATGGGAGCCTTTATGGTCATGATTACTGAAGGAGAAGCTTCAGTTGGTTTATCCCAATTTCGTGGAATGCGCTAATACGTGAGTAGTTTAAAAGTTTTGACGATGGGATTAATGATGAAGGAGTTGAAGGAGTTGTCCCCTTCTATTAGGTCATGTTTATTTTGCCATAATCCAGTCCAGGAATGGGAAAGTAATTCCGATTTTACCAATATGAGATGTTTGGCACGTTGTCTGGCTGGCAATTTACCAGCCAATTTTAACAAAGAGGAGGATTAGAATTCTAGTGAAGAGCGTATTTCCATTCCTTACCACACAGGGAATGTAAATTTACACAAAAGTGAGCCATTTACCTGATTCAACTGTAACAAAGTCAGAAATTGACCTTAGCATCATTTCTTTTTGTTTAATGCGATGCTGTATCTATTAGTGTGGAGATGATTTTTAGGTTTCACGATTTAATAGAAGTAGATTCCATGTTCACTCTTAATGTACCGTTTTTCTTTTTATTAATAATTTTGTTTCTTATGAAAACAAAATGCACATTCGTTGGGATTGTAAAGGCCTGGGTTTGGGTTTTAGGGTAAGAATCTCGCTCTTCCGTTCTCTCACTGTTGTCCTGCTCCTACAACAAAAGGAGGAAATGGAAAAATGAGAGGACCTAGCTCCTAGCTTTAGAGTTATTTTTACTTTGTTTTTTATGTTTCACATTTATTTCATTGTGCTGTCACATTAGGAAACACTATATTTTTTCATTTATTTTTATAGGAAACCTATTGATTAAATTGAAGGAAGTACAATCTAGTGGACCAACAGTCCATAAAAACTAAAGAGCTGGCCACAACCTATGATTAACAAGCTACCACAAAATCTAAAGAAAACTACACCCTTATGCAGGATTTACATCAATAAATCATGTTTATCGATTTAACATATGAATAGATAGTTCATGATATGAATCACGAAGTCTATCTCATTTATAGAAAAAATATAAGTGCTCCTCTTGATATCTTCTTTAGACTCATTCCATAATAAGCTTTTGGTATGTGTGAGATATGATTTGTCTGCATTCATGATGATTTGCTGATGTTACTTCTTGTTGGTGCAGTACATAAAGCATCTTGCTTTCAATACAGCAAAAAAGGGATGGAATGCTGTTGTTAGCAATCACAGAGGACTGGGTGGCGTTTCAATTACAGTATGAAGCTATTTTATAAGCAACAAAAGTTGACAAGCTAATGATATTAAAGATTCTGATAATTCTCAATCGTTAAAGTTTAGTATTTTATTGTTATTTTTCTATTGAGAAGCACACCTTATTCATAATCTATGAAACTAGAAAACAATGAAAGTGGACAACCTATCCACAGAAGTACAAATAACATCCATTAGCAAACAGCTTCTACAAATACAAACAGAAAAAGGAAAAAAAGAAATGGATCCAAACGAGCATGTTGTTATAGTAATGTGTTGTGTGCTGCTTCTCCCTTGTCTAACTTTCTGGATGTTGTGCGTTTCTCTTTGAATAATTTGTTTTCTTATTAAGCCAATGAAGTAATCTCAGTGTTCCGTTTCTTGTTATTTTCAGTCCGATTGCTTTTATAATGCTGGATGGACAGAGGATTTACGGACTGTCGTTAATAACCTCAACCATGAATACCCCAAGGCTCCTTTATTTATTGTTGGAACAAGTATAGGTGCCAATATTTTGGTATGTTATTTGGCCATGTTAGATTTGTTTTTAAGCCTTTTGTAATTATTAATTAGATTTGATGTTTTATGGTATCATTTGATTTCACTACTTTTCTAATTCTGGATCTCTTAATCATATATTAACTTCATTTTTGTTTTAGAGAACATTTATACAAGTCAATTTCATTATCTCTCTATATTCTCATTTGCTAGTAATTTTGGCATCAACTCTGCAAAGCACCGAGCTATATGAGTTGTTGGGAGATCTTTTAAAATAAATCCAATATAAAATTAGTTTTCAACATTCTCTGTTTCATTTAATCGCCTGAAGTTAACATCCATTTTAATTAATCGTTTTCAGGTCAAGTATCTTGGGGAGGATGGCGAGAAGACTCCTGCTGCTGGGGCTGTAGCGATATGCTCCCCTTGGGACCTTTTGGTTAGTGTCTCAACTTAATGGTTATGTGAAGGGCAATGTTTCTGGTTTGTGATTAAATGCATTGGCAGCGTGTGTGGACAAGTTTCTGTATATGGTTTTGTCCCAAATTTTCTTTTCTACTGTTAACCATTCTAGGCTATTGCATATGTCCACGGCGATTAATGAAAGGGTGAGCAGGGGATAATACTAGGTGCTCAGTAGTACGGATTCAGGGGTTAAAATTTGGTCTGCGTTTCAGAGTTGAGTGTTTTAACTTCTGAACATTTTTGTTTGTCAGAACTTTTATAGAAAGAGCTAAATATGTTAGTTAGCCAAGCAGAGATACTTTTCAGTAAACCTATTGTGTACTAGTTCAACATATTAAGGTGTTGCTTAGCAAATTGCAGTGCATCATATATTGTACCCTGTGTTTTCTACTTTTGGAATCTCTTGATTTTTTTTTTGGGCTGCGTGGCAGCACGACATGACTTAATATTTTTTATTTATTTGAACTTGCATGAGAATCATTGTTATTTTAGGCCTTAGTGGCTAATTGGGTTCCATAAGTTTTGGTATCATGTTGGACTTCAGCATTCATCATTTAGCCCGTAATATTAAAATCTATAAGAAACACTCATGCTGGTATGGCAGAATAGCGTGAGATATGCTTGGTTTCACAGTGTAGCATATACTGAACGGCAACTCTAATTTAACTTATCTTGGAAATATATGACCGTTTGAGTAAATGAAAAAAAAGAAAAAGAAATATTAGACATCCTTTGTCGTACCATTTTGCTGTTGTTTCTCCTCTGCTGACACCTGTCTGCAAGTTGCCAAACAAGTTTCAGCTAGATGAAAAAAATTAATTGTGCATTTGATGCTATTGTTATAAAAAAAAAGGTGTTTCCTCCTTTCGCATGTGTCATGGAATTGAAATTAGCATTTGGTTTCTGCAGTAGTTTCATACTGAATGAAGTTACTTATCCTATGATTTTTTTTTTTATTTCTTTTTTTGCAGATTGGTGATAGATTTATAGGCCGTAGGCTGTTGCAAAAAATTTATGATAAAGCTCTAACAATTGGCCTTCAAGGCTATGCTCAACTGTACGTCTGTTTATTTAAACAATATTATGATAAAGTTTTAATTTGGGTAGTAAATACCTCATAAAACATTATGTGGTGTAGGATAGAGTTGGGCAAAGGAATGTAGATAGCTCAACGGAAGCGAAAACAAAGATAAATTAAAGTAAAACAATAATAAAAGATGACTGGAATCACTCCAGACCCATTGTTAGGCTCTCACCAAAATAATCCCATCGCAGGATAAGAATTCCAATCTCTGGAAAACCAAACTTTTTTATTCATCAACTCTTCATTGTTTTTAATCTGAATTACAAAGGGGTTATTTTTAAAAAGCTAGGAATATGTATGTATATTTGCTCCATTGTATGCACCATATTCATTTAGATTCTTACAATGTCAAAAGGGTAGGAATAGGATCTATTTATTAACAATAGTTTCTGTCCTTTTTAAAATATATTTATGACAAATCATAAATGGTTAATGCAGAAACCAGCCTCACTTCTTACGGCTCGCTAATTGGGAAGGCATAAAAAAGGTCAGTGTTGTCTTTAAGATTTTTTTGTTGAGCTCAGCATCATTGTTGGAGCAGCAAATAAAGTTGATACTGGACCTCTGTACTCTGCTAGAAAGTTTATCACATTATGAAATATTGTTAAAACCTGCAGCAAGTAATTTTACTTCTGGAATGTTCAACTTTTAAACCCATGGACCCCATAAATTGAATTTAATTGTGGATTTAAATATTACTCATGAAAAATAAGAAACATCCAAATGAAACGGTTGTGTGGAAATAGTCTGTGTGTATGCTTCGTTGAGTGGCGCTACCTGCCTTGTACTAATGTTTGTTTTGTTCTTATCTTGTTCTTCAATAGTCGCGCTCTATTCGTGATTTTGATCAGCACGCTACCTGCATTGTTGGGAAATTTGAGGTATAATGTAGATTTCACTAATTCCTCTTACCTTACCTTTGCTCTATTTATTGCGTTAAGCATCTGTTTTTCCTTTACAGACCGTGGATACATATTACAGGCACTGTAGCAGTGCTACTTATGTGGGAAATGTTGCTGTCCCGTTGCTCTGTATCAGTGCTTTAGATGATCCAGTCTGCACTAGGGAAGCCATTCCTTGGGATGAATGCAGGTGGACCTCTTAAAGTGTTTTCTTTCATCGGTTTCTTCTTTTACATAACTTAAGCATATGCCTAGTATTTGTCTTCAATAGGGCAAACAAAAATATTGTATTGGCTACAACAAAGCATGGAGGACACTTGGCTTTCTTTGAAGGATTAACTGCTTCTGGCATCTGGTACTTCATGGTTCCATGTTATTTCTATACCTTTCTATTATGTTTGCATTAGTCGCCACTTTGGAGATTAACTTAATATATCTGTTCCCATAAACTTTGTATTATTTTACATGGCTAGCTTAGTAGCAACCTGTGTAATGATACTTTATAGCTTGTCCTTTTGAAGCAATATGGTATATTTGTGTTCATTGCGGCTATTGTGATCATAATACTCTCTTTGCTATGCGCACTTTTAGGTAGCTTCATCATAGCTTTTGTTCTAACATGCGTGATTAATTTTCTTTCCCTTGCAGGTGGGTAAGGGCTGTTGACGAATTTCTTAAAATTCTTCACTCTAGCCAATATATGCATGTACAGAAGGTATAATTTTATTTTCCTTAGTCTTTGAGTGCTTAATGAAGTAATGTCATTATTGGGTGCATGAAGCAGAGGTTTTACATTCTGATACCGTCCAGAAGTACATGCAAATTGTTGTTTGTGCAGCATACAGGCCATTTCTGCAAATTAATATTCTTGGTCTTCATGTTTTTCAGATGGTGAGTTCTGGCCCACAGTTGTCGTTGGACTCTTCAATAGATCATCAAGGTCCCTATATAAACGTTGCAGAAGATGGAATGGTAGCTGCCGTTGGAAATGAACAGGCGATGGAGACTAAGATAGAAGATGTACTTGAACCGCAAAAGATCCATGACAGAGAAACTAACGAAATGGTTCCAGGAGGACAAGATGAACAGATGATTCAGCCAGAATCACAATCGTTGGCAGAAATCCCCCAATCATCTGAACAAGTTACTAACGTGCAGGATGCGAAGCCTCTTGATGTAACTACTACTGTTAGAAGGTGCTTAGATCAGCTATCCCGACGGACTAAGTGGTCGTTGTGGTTGCTTGTGTATGTTTCCATCGTCACAAGTTGGCCATTGATTGGTTCTGCACTTAAAATTGTCTTGCAAAAGAAGCTCAGAAATTTATTTGGGTGACTCTATTGCCACCCCCTAATATCCGAGGAATTTAGGACATGATAATAAATGTAAGAAACTTGTTTCGTCTTAAAACACATTGACGATCGTCGCTGTAATGTTTACGTTATTTTCAGAAAAAAAAAATGAAAATAAATAAAAATCAAGTTCTACTGATACTAACGTTCTGTAAAATGTTATAAAATGAAAGAAGATTATAAACCAGTTGAGTCATCAGTCCGCTACGACGACATGTTGATTCTTTTGCTCAGCCACCCCATTTTGCTGAGGTATATAGGAATATGTATTCTGATGAACAATTTGGACAACTACTACATCAATTCGGTACTCAAATATTCACCTTCATTATCACTGCGGATTACCTATATTTGAAACTTGTACTGACATTGAATCATCTTATGACACTGTTTCAATAATTCATTCACTTCACCTTTGGTTTTCATGAGATAAATTCACGTCATTCGAGTACTGTTGGAACCAAATCTGCACACTGTTGTGGATGGAAGAGGTCTGCAAGCCTGGATAACTAGAAGAAAGCAAACAAGCACATTCAACTTGAATTACAAGTGTGGTTGTGATACCCCGTCCTAAATTTGTCATATTTTATTGTATCGAACATATGAAATTACCAAATTACCCTTGAGGCATGAACGTTGACTTTTGTTGACCATCTCAACGTAACGTGTATGACTAATTTTCTTAGTCTATTCTTTTTGTACTCATCACCACGAAGGTGTGGGCACGAACGGATTCGAATTTGGAGTTATAACGAAGATTTTACATTATGAAACGTCGAACGTTTTTCGGATATTTCGTGTTTTATCTTTAATGACCTTAATGTGTGAGCCACTGGGGCCCACAATGAATTCTTGTCCCCCAATCCTCTCACTTTTCCCTGTGATCCCATCTCTTTGATATACCTCTCTCTCTCTCTCCCTCTCTCTCTAAGCTCTCACTCTTGGTCCTCTCATTTCTCTTTGGAACTGCCCTCCCCAAGGGCACCGCACACAACAACAACAACAACAAACAACAATGACAACACCTCCCACCACCCAACAACCCTAGTTGTGAACCTAGAAACGAACGAGAAACACCCCAAAACCCCTCATCATTCGTTGCATGGTGAACTCACTATTCATCAAAGCTTTCTGGCGAGTTTCCACGTTCTCTAACGAAGATAAGCCTCAAACCTTGTCTAAAAGTTGTAGATCGTGCTTTGATGTATGTTTAGGAGTAGTTTTGAGAAGTTTGGTGATGTTTGGATGTAGGAAACCCACAGGGAAAGCTTTCCCAGTTTTCCGGCGAAGACCACCACTTTGTAGCCATTTTTCGGCCAACTCTAGCCACAACTCAGGCCCAACTTGGTATGAATCTCTTCTCCTCGTGTCAAGCTTCATTTTGACTTTTGAAACATAAAAAATGGTTAAGAAACGAGCTCGAACGGAGCTCAGGAAGTTGAGCCCAGAAACTAGCCAATTTCAAGCCTCGCGAAGAAGGCAAGTAGCCTTTACTCGCGAGCGCATGAGGTTGCGCGTGGTGCAACCATGGCTGGTGCGTGGAGCACACGCGCCTCTACCGAAGGTACTGTGCTCCGCTGCTGTCAACCGCGGTGCCAGAAAATGTTTTGGCGACTCATCTCAGCGCGTGGCCTCCTGGGCTGTAACCCCATGGCGGCACTTGGGGGAACCCAAGGTCCCCCTTTAGGTTTTTCGACGTCATGAATCTGATTATGATCTCTGTTTTCCCAAACTCAATCGTTTTAGTAGAGTTTTATTAATTGGTCCCTTTATGTGCTTAGGTGAGTTTGTTAGTGGCGTTTCTATCCTCCCTAATTCGAATGACTCTTCGACGATGGAATATTTGTGAGTTGACCCCTTCCAAAATGCATGATTTTATTACTAGAAATGCATACATAAAAAGCATGATTTTATGACTACGTTTATTGAGTTATCAGATTTATGCTTTATTAAATATCATGCTTTATCGAATTTACGTTTATAAGATATTTATGAATAAGATTTATGATATGATGTTTGAGCTATTGAGCTCCGATGAGATAAATTTTGGAAAGATTATGTTCATGATTTTTTGTGCTTACTTAGTGGATATTCATACATATGTGCCTTTGGGTGGAAGATATTTATATATGCCTTCAGGTAGGCGATGTAGTGCCTTCAGGTGAAAGATATTTATATATGCCTTCGGGTGAGCGATGTAGTGCCTTCTGGCGATTGTGATACCACTACTAAGCACACTATATACGATATATGTTTTACGAAGGTTTTATGGCATGCTAGGGTTTTCGGAAAACCTATTACTTATTATGCTATATGAGTTTTCTAAAGCTGGGGCTTAGTACGTTGAAGAATAACTATTTTAGTATTACATATATATAAATTTGGTCCACTCATGTTTTGTTTTGCACCCCTTAGGACTTAGGACTTAGGAACGAGGCATACAACCCAAGCTACGAGGCATTCCCGTATCAGTGAATTTGTGTCCTCTCTGCATAGGATATCTCTTGTAATCGCACCTTCCAATATTCCTTCCGCTTGTTTTTCGAAGTAGTAGTATGCTCTGAACATGTCATGCATTATCACTTTTAAATTGTTGGCAGTTGAATATTATATTTTATTAAGGTTTGTACTTGATTACTATATTGCGTTGTTACATGCGAATTTTATATGCATGTTTTACATGTTCTCAGCATATGCATTCATGAAATAGCTTGTGTCACCCTCGGGTGTCGGCTAGCACGTGGCCATCCCGTTGTCCTTCGGACACCGGGATCAGGGCGTATCTACCAACCAAACGTTATCCAACGATCAAGTTAGTAAGCTATATTGTGACTCAAGTAGTGGGCAAGAAAATAATGTGCTATGGAACATTTACCAAAGTTATGCTCTAGATGAGTATATTTATACTAATCGGGAGATAGACTTTTTAACATAGATAAATAAAACATTAATTAGTGTCAATACATTATAAAAATTAAAGATAAAATTAAGGGAAATACCAAAAAATAGGACAATTTCTTAATCTTGGGACATAAATATGACATTTCAAATATGCACATGCCATGCATAATAATCGGACAAAAATAAGATTTTTTTTCTACACCTTGAAATGACCAAATTTCCCTCCCATATAAATGGGTTATCTAGAAATTTCAACTCTCATTTCTCATTTTGTAGAGAGAGAAATAGAGAGGAGAAAGAGAAAATCTCTCTCCCCCAATTCTAGTTCAAATAACCCTAACCCACCCATCTTCTTCATCCAAGAGCTCTCTCTAACCCACCCATCTTCATCCAAGCTCTCTCTCTTTCTCTCTCTCTCTCTCTCTCCTCTCTCTCTACATTTCGAATATGCGCGAGAGCTCTCTCTATAACCCACTCATCTTCTTCAATTTTTACCTTTTCATTCGTAGGTTTTGTGAACTGGGTTTGCTTAATTTTGGTTTTTGATTGATGGATTTTTGGAGTTGAAGTGATTGGTTTGGTGTTTCTTGGAGGAGACGCAAATCCTTCATTTTTCATTTTTCATTTTTTATTATATATGTTATGCTCACAGATCTAAGCTCAACCCAAAAAACCCATAGCTCACAGATCTCTCTTCGAAATCAGAAAAATGACGCAATCAGAAAAATGACCCTAAACTTTATATGAAGAATCGAAGATTCATTCATTTGAATTTGGTATCAAATTTGATTAGGTTCAAATATTTCAAGAATTTGAAAAAATTGCGGTTCGAATGGGCATGAAAGAACCCAACTAAATCAAAGGAAATTGTTTCACAAACTTGTTCGCTTTTTTCGTATTTGCAGGGCTTACTGATAGGATTTTTAGTACCTACGAAAGGAAGGTTAAAATCACACAAAATACTTGCAAGAGTACAAGGATGTTGTAGTATAGATGTTCATGCAAGGTTGTTCTCCACAATGACTATTTAAATAATTTATGTAAAAATAATTCATAATTGACTCCTTAAAATTAAAAATTTAGAAATTGGGTAATATTAAAAACGAATTTTAATTAAAAACAAATAGTAAATTCGCCCAAAAGTAATACGATAAAAGAAAAGAGTTTTTAAATACCAATTTATAAAAGCACTAGAATTCCGCCATCACCTAGCAATCCTATGTATTTTTACCAATTACTTATGATCTATACATGACACTTTGAAGGTAAGGTTTTCCTAATATATATTCTACTTGGAACCTCCAACATAAAACGTATATCTAACATGCAATCCGTCCGGACGTTCGGATCAAATATGAACATGAAAGACTCATTATGTTTTTGAAAATCCTTTGAAAAACCATGCAACCCTTAAGACATGGTGTTCATCTTAAGTGAAATTTGATGCGTAAAATAACTAAACACACAAATTAAACCCTCTTTTTATCAATTGTAGTAAAGTATGTAAGTAGGGATCGTTCTAGGCCGGGGATTAGGAGGGATTGCTAAATCACTTGGAAACTGACTTGAAAACGTAAAAACAAAGTTTAAAACACTAACTAGACTCAAAGAATGCAAAACTATACTTTAAAACACTAAAACAAACCAAAAGACTCAAAACAGCCCCTAAACACTCAAAACTACCTTAAAAACACAATCTGGGCAATTTTGGGACTCTCACACAAACTTGGACAAATTTTGGTTTTCTAATGAACTAAAACACTTAAAAACATAATCTAAGACAAGTTCTAATTAATATGACTCAAAGAAATAAGATGGGGTTGATTTTCGACGAAAATAATTAAATTAAGACAAGAACAAAGTAAACAAATTCTTAGACAAATTTGGGTGAATCAAAACACTCTAACACACACACAACCAAAACAGAAATTAAACACTTTGAAACAATAAAGTAAAAGGGGGATTTTGGTTTTAATGAATTTGAAAACAAAACAACTTTGTAAAACAAAACAGATTGTAAGTGAATTTGAATGAAACTTATGGATGGAAGATTAGCTAGGAGGTTCTTCTCCACATATGTCACACTTGCATACAAAACGATTTCCAGTTGCTTTTCGATAAGCTATGAATACTCAACGCCCCAAATTAACCGTGAATTGCACTAATTAACCCTCAGTTTTTTCCACAAGTTATTAGGTTGGATGATTGCATACGACAACCCAAAACATTCCCTACAAGTTCCCTACATGAATTGCATAATAGAGATACAAGCAAGAATCATTAAGTTCTAT